ATTTCCTGTAAGGTCACATATAGCTTCAGATTTGTAGCCTGCAATGCGTGGGTGATGCCAGTGAATGTAAATGGAAAATTTTAAAGACCCCCAACCAAATTCAAGACAATCTAAACTCTGAAATGAGCCATAGCTATCATTATTCATACAAATTACAAGGTAAAGTATTTTATGACTTCCTTAAATCAATTGTAGAGACTAGGGAGGGCGAAGCATCTAGCATTGTAACACCTCAAATTGCCTGAACACTAAGCTGAGGTGCTCTATGTGCCGATGATGCTGGCATTTTCGCTAATCCTTCAATTTCCGACTTACAGACACTGGCATCCACACTTGATTTTTCTGGGCGGTGTTGTGTACTAAAAATCAATTAAGCAAAAAATGAGATATACCCAATCAGCTGCCCAACGGAACATGTCCAGTCCCTGCTGGCTGTGTTCCCAAGCAAGCCGATGGATACACGCATGTGTGTGTATATCCGCGCGATTAGGTTGGGTCTCCCAAGTGCGGAAAGTTTAGAGTTAAGACAGGGAGTCATTGGAGAGCAGTTTTTTTTTCAATCTTACCAAAAAATCAATATTAGGAGTGGTTTTGGAAGCTTTTGGAGATGCTCTTAATTAGAACTTGGAAGCATATGGCAGTGAGGGTTCGGCGTACCAAGCACAAATCCCAGAAGAGACGGTACAAATAAAAAAACTTAAAAATCCCAAAATTTTTTTGAAACTTGTGGAATTTTAATTAAAAATTTGAGAATCCGAACAAATCTCATTTGATTGAAAAAACAAGATTAACAGTATATATTTACCTGAAGTCACCAATATACTATATATATATATATATAGGATAGAAAATTGCGAAATTTTGGCCGAAATTCCGAACACAGCTAGCAGTTTATTAACTATGCACCTCGGAGACAGACATGAAAATGCGTCAACAGATAACTCACTAGTTGGAACTATAAAATAAGCAAATTAATTAGTGCTATCCATGGCGACTTGGAGTTGGAGAGTGACCTCGCCCTCCGCGCGTCCCAAATTAAACAGAGACCTTGTACTGATAATACGTGTACTTGGGCCTTGATTTCGTTTGACAGCGTTAATCGATTCTCTTCCAGCACACGAAAAGTGAAAAGTAGCGTACTCATCTCCATGCATGCAATGCAACGACCGGTCTACCTCCAGCCTATCCAGCCAGGGCGCGGCAACCGGCCGGCCGGCAAGGCTTGGGGCGGCAAGCCACCCGAGTTTGGCAGCACACGACGACCTCGATCTGCACCATGCAATATGCATCATGTACGTACCCGTCTCCAGTTCTCCCGATCAGTCGATTGCTCAATTAAAACGCGCGCACGATATATGCGTGCCTTGTGCGTAGTAACAAAGATCAGCAGATGTGAAAATTAAAGTAGGCACTACAGGCAGGGACTCATCAAGACATCAAGCTAGCAGGTGACTTTTGTTGCATGCGATCTGTGTAAAACGTTATACGCACGAGCTTGATGGATAGTAACATGCATGGTGTAAGTGTAACAAAATACTCTCTCCATCCCAAATTATAAGTCATTTCAAGAATTTTGGAGAGTCAAAACATCTTAAATTTGACTAAATTTATATGATAAGATAATAACATTTATAATGCCAACTTAGTATCATTAGATTTTTCATTAATTATATTTTCATAGTATACCTATTTGATGTCACAAATCTTTGTGATTCTCTCTATAATTTTGGTCAAACTTGAGATGCTTTGATTCTCCAAGATTCTTGGAATGACTTATAATTTGAAATTGAGGGAGTACTAGTTTAATTTGCAGCAAAACAAGACTCAGCCGAGTTTTAAGTTCACCCATTGCATCTATGTTAAGTCAGAGACTTGAAACTTTGGCGAATCTAAGCAGTTGAGCTACCTATATATACTTTTGAGGGATTTTTATGGTGGCAGAAGTGGTAATTTAGATTAAAATTTAATGGGTCACTAGCTTAGATTATCTATGATAATGGAAGGTTCAGTAATTTATCATAGTAGCATAGGTGGGTAAATTTAAAATTGGTTATTATTATCAATATTTGGTTAGAGACTACTGAATTGTGATGACTATATATCCTTATGGTTTTTATAAGAAACTCAAGTTTTTTTTTCGGCTAGCATGTCTTGTCATGAGGATTAATGTGGAGGCTTTGTTGGGATCTTCAATTAGTAATGGCTAGTAATATATTTGATAATTGGTGCTGCAATACATAGTTTGGAATATTGTAAACAGATGCATGATCGATTGCTTGCGTCGATTGTGCTGACTCTTGCACTACTGAACCGGCTGGCTTATGAAGTGCTTAGAGTAGCAGATTGCTTCATCATCGACACGTTGAATATATACTTGTACTAGTATGTTGCTTCCGGACATTATAAGCCCCTGTTGCTTCCGGACATCGTCATATCGGCAAAGCATGGTTCAGTTCCACATATGCCTAACCGAATTGTGAATTGTCACTGCCGTGTGGCGGCCCTCATGCTCCAACTTTCATGGAGACCACTGCAAAGAATCAGATGGACATGCTTGACGACTTGTCCTGAGAACAAACACAGACACTCGTGCACGTGCACTATCGGACGTACTCGCATCAACGGCAGCGGGCAAGCAAACAAACGTTAGAATTTTCGTCGTGAGAATACCTGCAGGTGGACACGATTCAGGCACATTTATCTCCTTTTGCCATGCCTGAAGAATCTCAGGAATCCATGGGGTATGGCAATGGCATGCAAGAATGCACACTCCACTGCACATATCTGCTGCCAACCTAAGTCTTCTTCACAAGCAACGCATCCTGCCTCATCGCGCGCGCCTATATATACGGCCGTTGGCATGCTGCTTACTCACCAAGTCACCATCACCAAGCTGAGCAAGCCTAGCAACAAGTCCCCTGCCATCAGATACAAAGCTCAAGCTGCACTATAGCCTTCAGTTCTGTTGTGGTCTTTGTTCACTTGAGAGTTCAAAGTCCAGGCCGCAACTAATAACCACCTGCACAGCGTGCGTAGCTCTGACAATGGTATCCAGCAGGAAGCTGATGAAGCTTGTGTTCATGGTGCCTCTCCTCGCGATGCTCTTCATGTCTAGCACTCTTGAGGCTGCAAGAGCGAGCAATGGCACCTCGGCTGACGGCACGAACCACTTGCACAGCCCTCGCGTCAATGGATCCGCCGCTGGCATCGCCGTCGTCGCAGAGCGTGTTCAGCGTCGACCGCTACGGCGCCCGCGGCGACGGGAGCCACGACGACACGCAGGCGCTGGCCAGGGCGTGGAAGGCGGCATGCGCCTCGCCACGGCCGGCCGTCGTGCTCATCCCCGGCGGCAGGCTCTACCTGCTCAAGCTCGTCACTCTCCATGGCCCGTGCAAGTCCAGCGTCACGCTCACGGTCAAGGGCACCTTGGTAGCGTCGCCGAACAGGGCGGACTGGAGCGACAAGGACAGGAGGCACTGGATCGTGTTCCGAAGCGTCAACAAGCTCACCGTCAATGGCGGTGGCGCCATCGACGGCAACGGCGAGAAATGGTGGCCACACTCATGCAAGATCAACAAGGCTTTGGTAAGTGTGGCGCCGACCCTTAGTTTATCTGAATATCTTTAAGCTTATGCTTTACTGGGAAGTGTCTAACCTAACAGAATTGGTTCTCTTTCTTGTTTCTTCAGCCGTGCAAGGAAGCTCCAACGGCTTTGTCATTCCACTACTGCACCAATCTGAGAGTGGAGGATCTGAAAATTGTGAACAGCCAACAGATCCACATGTCAGTCGAGGATTGCACCAATGTGCTACTGGCGCGGTTGTCCATCACAGCGCCTGGCACGAGCCCTAACACTGACGGCATCCACATCACTCGGAGCAAGGATGTACACGTCACAAACTGCAAGATCAAGACAGGTAAGTAGCTTGTTCGAATACTAATTCGCATCATATACAACATATATGCCATTATTGCATCTTCAAGCTTTCGGTGAACTCATCACATTTTGTTTCTGCTGAATTTCACAGGTGATGATTGCATGTCAATCGAGAACGGGACTCGTAATCTTCATGTCTCCAAAGTTGTTTGTGGTCCTGGACATGGGATTAGTATTGGAAGCTTAGGAGATAACAACTCAAGAGCTGAAGTCTCTGGCATTATCATAGATTCAGTGCAACTATATGGCACAACCAATGGAGCACGCATCAAGACATACCAAGGAGGAAGTGGATACGCCAAGGACATCACGTTCCAAAACATGGTCATGTACGACGTCAAAACCCGATAATCATCGACCAGAACTACTGTGACAAGGCTACGCCATGCGGAGAGCAAAGGTCAGCAGTGCAGGTTAGCAATGTTGTCTTCAAGAACATCAGAGGACAACCATCACCAAGGAAGCTATCAAGATGAACTGTAGCAAGAATGTCCCATGCCAAGGCATTACCTTGCAAAACATCAATCTAAAAATGCAGGGCGGCAAGGGCGACACACAAAGCACATGTGAGAATGCAAAATGGAGAAAATTCGGGACTGTACACCCACAGCCCTGCACTGACAAAAGCTAGGATGGATAGGATTTGAACAATTTATAGCATGTAAATACGAGGGTATACAAGAACTAGTAGAAAAAAGGTGTTTAGTTGTACTTGTTGATTGGTTGGTGTAACATTCCTGTAAATTTTTTTATGCAAAGCAACAACAACTGATACTTCATGGTTAACGCATTTGATATTGGCAGAAGAGATTTGAATGTACACATTAAATCAACCTGTTGGCCATACATAATTCGCTGATACTCTCGTAAACTTTCAGACAAGCTAGGCAGTCTATATATATATATATTAACTTACGGATAAACACCAGCGGAGGTACATATTACACCATATGTAATTAACTTCTCCCGACCAAGTTCCTAGCATACTATAGAAAGAGCCACCCACTGATAAATTACGACACAATGGGTGCTAGTTCCACTCTTTAATACATTCAGCTCATTCTAGCAGTTGATGCCACATTTTCCGATATCAGGACCAGTGACCCGGGTGGTGAATGGATCGATACGAACCCACAGCAGGGAAAAGATCGATGCAAGGAGGATAGCCCATACAACAACAATGGTCGGCGTGCGGTTCTGCTTCCCCATGAGGCCCTTGAGGAAGGGGTACAAGTGGACAATCACCCAGAACGCGAAGAAGAGCTTCCCAAAAAGAGGTCCCCATGACTGGTAACCACTATTGATCGCATAGGAAGTGCCAGCAACCACACCGACCAGGTTGATGATCAGAATAGTGGTTGGTGGGATCAGAAGCGTTGTCCACTTGAACATGTAGAGCTCAGCAAAATCACCTTCTTCATCAGTGGCCTTAGAAGTGACAGTGAAGCTCGTGTCAATACCAGCAAGCACCTTTAGGAGACCCTGGAAGACGGCAAATAAATGCGCAGAAATACCACCGATAACCCAAAACTGCTCATTCCTCCACCATTCATCAATGCCAACACCACTCCACCTCATCTCAAGGATACCAGTGGCAAAGATCGAGATAAAGAGTGATATAAACCAAACACTCTCTAGGTTACTAATCTGCATTCAAGAAAAATAAAAGCAGTCAGAATCAATTCTTTGCAATTCTGCCTGCACAGTACATAAATGTGTGTGTTTTACCTTTGGGATGATAAACTTCCCAGTGAGAAGACAAACTGCTGGCAATATGCAGTACAGGAGGAGTGGGATTGATGTGAGTGGATAAATTGTTGTGTTAATATAAGCAAATCTCTCCAGGAATTTAAGCCGTCCTCCATAGCCATACCATATGGGACAATGCCTGCTGAAAAGAATTTCAATGGAACCAAGAGCCCACCGAAGCACTTGATTCAAACGATCAGAAAGGTTGATAGGAGCAGATCCCTTGAAAGCTGGTCGTTTAGGCATGCAGTAGATTGACCGCCAGCCTCGAGCATGCATCTTGAATCCAGTGAGAATGTCTTCTGTAACAGAACCATAGATCCATCCGATCTGTGGTGCACCATATTAAAGACAAGAAAACATCAATTCAATAACAAATATATCATTTCCAACAACAGAAGTAGATATTTATCACCAAAATCAAAGGTTTTATGAGCAAACCAGACAAGAAAACATCAATTCATATCTCAACATTTCCTTGCGTGTGCTAGTAGCAAGTAATAGCACGAGCATCAGCAACGCTGATGTTACTAGTCATAACTTCAGGAGTCATTACCTCAGTTCCCCAGTCAGTTTTGTCCTCATAGCCACAGCTGATGACATGAATAGCTTCTTTCAGAAGAGACTCTGGAGTTGCAGACTGTGGAACACCGCCATATTCCATCAGAGTAGAGGCTACAAAAACACTGGACTGGCCAAATCTCTTCTCCAAGCTCATTTGAGACATAATCAGCGATTTTTCATCATCAAATTGAGAACCTATGAAGTTTGTGAAGTGCAAGATAAAAGATCAAGGATAAAAGAAAGGAAACTCTACTTGTCTATGGTACCTTATATTTACGACAGATAAAAACGATGAGTAAATGGGCAGCTGAATAGTGGTGAACAAAAATCAGAAATATTGAATGCACATCTACTCGAATTAAAACACACACACACACACACAACTCAATGATACCTTCAATCCCTTCCTCTATATCTTCAAGATTAAATACTGGTACAGAACTGTCTGCGTGTCTGTGTGACTTCTTCTTTTCTGACCTCTTCTTAGATTTTGACGTCTTTTTCCTTCCCCCACAAAGCGAAGAGAAGAAGCCTGGTTTTTTCTTTTTGACTGGAGGCTCATAACCATATAGGGCCGTTCTGTTAAACACACAACCAGTTCCCACATACACTGGCCCTTGAATGCCATCAAGACCTCTCAAGTTAATCTGCAGCAAACAGAAATACAGATAATTACCTGGCACATTGCACTCGGATTCTCAAAAATTTCATCACATAACAAGTATTAGCGTCACTAATTCATCAAGTTTTCTTTATGCCTCATGAAAATGTGGAAGTGGATGCCCAAAAAAACTTTAAAAGGATAACGCTAGCTTACATCGAAAAACACAGTGTTCCTGTTTGCATATCGGTCATTCCTATCAATACCATCAAACCTCTGAGGAAATTGGACATAACAGACATTCCTTCCTAGGTTTGGGTCCATAAGGAAGCACATAGCTTCTCGGAGAGCCTTGCTATTATTTATGTAGTGGTCACAGTCAAGATTCAACATGTATTGCCCATTAGTAAGGACAGCTGACACACGAACCTGCAGAAAACATTCAACCTCCATTACATCCAAGTAACTAAAGTTAGCAAGATGCATTTTGAAATTGTTCGTATTTAGCCACTCACAAGTGCATTCATGGCACCAGCCTTCTTGTGATGTTGGAATCCAGGACGTTTTTCACGAGACACATAAACCAAACGAGGAAGTTCGTTGCCTTCAACGTCTAGGCCTCCACTGTGACCTAGGAAAACCTGACAATGACCACAATTTTGAGTTTAAAGTGCAAGCAACAATAATCATTCTGTGCTGGGAAAGATATATGTTGTGGTCAAATAGTTTTGGGCAAAAAAAATTGAGCTTAACCTGAATCATTCCAGGATGGTCCCTAGTATTGTTCCCAGGCCAAGGTGTACCATCTTGCATGATCCATCCCTCCTCAGGAACTTTTTGTGCCTTGGCTACAAGGCCATTGATACGGACTTTGAACTCTTCATATTCTCTCTGTCAAGTATGTTTCAAAATACAAATTGACTTAATACAGAAGCAGGAACTGCCAAAACCTACATGCATATATATAAATATCAAATATACCTTCATGGCCCGGCGTTCTTTCACAAAAGAAGTTTGAACTTTGTCTTTCAAGTAATCAATTTTCTGAGCAAAGTACCACTCCGGGGCCCTAGGCTCTATGTTGTACTTCTTACAGAACGGAACCCATTTTCTAGCAAACTCTGAAGTTTCAGAGAGCGCATCAAAAGTCAGCATAGCAGCTCCATCATCAGAAACATAGCAAGATACCTTGTCAACCGGATAGTCGACAGCAAGGATGGAAAGCACAGTATTTGCAGTGACAAGAGGAGGCTCCTTCATAGGATCCACAGTACTGACAAAAATATCAACAGGAGCTAATTGAGATGGTTCACCTTCTCGGTCGTACCTGACAATGGAAGTAGCATTGTGAAATTGTCAGTCTTAGAACAACAAAGACAGTTTTGAGTTAGCAGTAAATACTTCACATCACCTTAAAGCCAGTCTATCAAGGTAAGTTTCACGGTTGATTGGGGACCACTTTGGGAACTGATCCAAAATCCAGGACAGAGCAAACCAAATCTCACATATGACGGATAACAGCCACAGTGGATATGCATTGTTTACAGGATGTGTGATACGGTAGCGCAGGAATATGCATAGAACAACCAAACGTAGCACAATGACCATTCTGTATGGATTTATTCTGGATGAAGGAATTGGCACTTTCCTAGAAAGAGGTTGCCGAGTTTCATCATTCCTGCAATATGGATCCACAAAAGTTATTGCTAAAAGTGACATGAAAGTCAGCATTTACATGTTTGATAGCGATAGCCGATATCTGCATTCATATAATATAATGTATTTCCTCTGAAATCAGTGATCTGCATAAAATTTGTTCAAAAGGCATGATTTGACAAACTGTCTTTGATTTCCAAACACACCAAAGTGCAAACTACTGTTAACACTACTAATACAGATAAAGGAGGAAACATTAATTATTGGTACATTTGGAGCTGGCTAAAGGTATACACAAGCATATGCGAACTTACAGTAAGGCATCTTCCATGTTATAGTCAGTAGAAGCATCAATATCATCAAGTCGACGCCCTTCTGATGGAGCAATGCTTGTCCCATTGGTCATAGGAATTGCACCTTTGTCCTTCATTTTCCATCCATCCACTCTCTCTTTCCATGCAACATTGCCAAGGCTACCAGAGAACTCCCTTGATGGGTTTGCTGATACGAACCAAGACGCAGAAATTAGATCGTAGTAGATGCAGCAGTAGCCAACAAAACATGAGATATTGATGATTGATAAACATACGAGAATGATTGACATAAGGAAATTGATGTCCACGCCTGCCAATGTTCCCAACAGGAAACATCATATGATCAGGGGAGGCTCCAGGAATCTCTCCTGAGATCTGTAAAAACAATCCATATGAAGGAACTGAATATTAGTTCTGTCTTCTGAACTATATTTAACACAATCACCTTAAATAAAAGTCTAAAGTTTCAACTCCAACCTGGCTATGAGTTAGTGACGGGATATATCCACGAGGGATCTCACCACTGTCATACTTCCCATGCCCAATCTCACCGCTGTCATACTTAGCCAGGTCAATATCACTGCCACGTGAGTTTGTCCGCCAGGTGAGCATTCTCTCAGCAATCTTTTGCTTCTGATCCTGGTTGCCGGATGCTTGGTAGTTGTAGTCACTCACATCATCAGCATCCACATCCTCATTTTCCTCACCGTGTACTGGTGGGCTCCTAAACAACAGAACAGAATTGAGTAAGGAATAAGATTTGGCCATGGTTGAAGCCAACAAACTCCACTCTTATTTGCTGCTCTTGGCGGCAATGTAACACAACTCAACACTACAATTTGAGTACAATTCACTGAAAGAGGTAGCTTACGGTGAGAATCTGAATAAATTTGCCAGCCACTGAATTAACACCTGCTCCTAGCTATTAAATTGCAACTACCTGATTGGTTTCAATAGCAGGTCAAGCCTAACCTGCTGCACTTGTAATAAACCTAAAATATGCATGGAAATGAAAGAGGTTGGCATACCCTTGTGGCGCTTGTACTTGGTCTTGCACTGCGGGCACGCCTGGGTGCCGTCCTTGCGCTCGTACTCGTAGCAGGGGCGGCACACTGGGAAGCCGCAGACGTCGCAGGCGGTGAAGAGCTCGCCATCCGCCGCGGTGCCCACGCCGTCGCCGCAGATCTGGCACACCTGCCCGGCCACATGCTTCCCCGAATTCTTCGCACGCGCACAAACACACCAGGAAAGAAAAAACACAAAACAACTTCAGTTCAATCCCCAAACGAACCGCAGACGAAAACCCTCCTGCTACTGCTATATTCCCCAATCCCCATCCCCCGAAATGCGTGCCACTCACCGCAGCGTCGCCGCCGTTACCGCCGCCGTCCATGGCGCGCCAATCTGAGCCTCCACGGTTCACAAAGGCCGGACCCCGGCCGCGTCACCGCATTCCTCGGCTTCCCCTCCCGCGCGTGCCAGCGCCGAATCCCCTCCGGGCTCGCGCGCCGACGGCAGAGGCAGAGGCAGCCCAGCCCAGTAGTGGTGGCGGTGGCAGTGGCAGTGGCAGTGGCCCTAACCCAGTGCTCACCTCACCTCGCGCGGGAGCAAGTGGTGGAGCTCGTGCGAGGCGGCGACGGAGGAGGGGAGAGGAAAAAGGACGCGGCACCGACGAGACGGCGACGGGGGGTGGGGGGACGCGCACACGTCGCAATGCCGCGCGGATTGGATCGGCGCCTGTCCTTCCTTGCGGGGTTTAGCGATCGGCGATTCAGTGATAAACCCCGGGATTTTGCGGAGTAATTTTGGATTCGCGTGCGGGGCTGGAGTTGATCTTGGTTATTAGTTTTCGCGTGGGGGAGGCCGAGGCCGGGTGGGGAATGGGAAGGGATTAGCCGGCGGTGAGCTGGACGGGGACCACGGGACAGTGACGTGGCGTGGGGGAGTCCGTGTCGACTGTCGAGACCGTCTCGTGGGGCCGGGTGGCAGGGACTGCGGCAAGGCGCGACAGCTGGTGATTGGTTGGCTGCCGCTAGAGTACTGCCGGAAGGACGGGAATGAAAATGAATGAATGGCATGGAATGTTTTTTTTTTTTGTATTGTATACAAGGAATGTCATGGAATGGAATGTTTGGATGCTGATGGTCAACAGCTGCATATCTGCTGTCAGCACGGACGGAGCACAGTGGGGGCCAAACTGGGTTCCGGCCCCCCCTTGTCCAGAACAAAATTCTCAAATATAGTTTGTGATCACTTGCATTTTGTGAAATGTGGTCCAACTATAAATATATATAACTAGTTAGTTTTAGTCCATAACTTGGTTAAGAGTAGTCTGACTGTCTCTGTAGTCACTTGATATGTGATTAGTTAAATTTATCACTTGATATATGGTTTTATTTCTGATGTCAACATATTTCACTTGTGTTTTTATCAAGTTGCCCCCCCCTTGATTTTGTGCCGTGCTCCGTCGCTGGCTGTCAGTCAGCCAAACAATTGAAACGTGCCATCTACTGTAGTATATTCATCTGAATAAATTAATTTCTAAAGTTATTTTAAGTTAAATTCTTTTAACTCGTCATCATAAAATATATTTTTATTATGTGTTTATTTAGTGACATAACTGTTTATGTGCTCTTTTTTATTTTTTCGAACACTCTTTTTTATTAATTTGATCAAACATAAAGAAAAAGTTTAACTTAACACAACTCTATGAATTGATTTATTTATGGATGGAGGAAGTACTTTGATTTTATACTAGTTAACACGTACCAGACTGTAAGCATGTGTCTATATATAGTATTTCAAATGCTCATACCTACACGTGTATAGAGGTTGCTTATGTAACACCATGTGACCAAGCATTATACATATATCTATATCTAATATTAAAGAGTCAAAATTCTATCTTATTTTTATTGTCCACCTCCCCCTGACTTCTTAACCCAGGCTTATGACCCATACCCATACACCATGTTTTGAGTAAGTTAGAAAGATTTTTCATGGTGATTTGTCCGCCAAGTTCCATCAAAGCTTTTTTTTCCGCAAACGTGGCTTTGTACATATTTCATGAAGAGGGAAATGTTTAATACAAAGTTATGGTGTTCCACGAACATCATGCAGCGAGAGGCCCACCACCGTAGACAAACAAACCATAACGACCTGCCAAAACACGACGCCCAGGGAAGAGCGCCCCAATGCTTCCTGTTTGGAGACGGAAAGTGGGGACTTGAATACCTCCTGGAATTAGTGAGCAATGATGCGTCCGGCTCTGCGTCTGCTAAAGCTGAACCAATGTGTCGGCGACGGAGATCGAATTCGTAGAGGGAGAGAAAGAGACGGCACTGCTGCCGGGCAGCCAAATGGATCGGCTCTGGACCGCCGAACGGCTAGACCGAACATCCACCACAGCCACAGCCCAAACAGCTGCCGAAACCAGCAGCCGAACTTGCCGCCCATTAGAACGATACAGTCCGGCCCAAAACGTGGTCCAAGACGGACGGCTCATCAACGAGTATGACCTGCAAGCAAGGCCCACGTAACTAAAGGCCGATACTCGTGCAAGACAGCAAGACCTGCGCAACCTGGACCTCACAGTCATCACCAAAAAGCACACACAAAAAAAAAAACAACAACGCAGCAACCGAGCAACTCCTCCCACCGCCACTCTGCCAGTCGATACTACTGCTCAGTGCTCACTCTCCTTCCTAGCTGCAAGCGGAGTTTGTTTTCCAGGTTAGTGCTTTCGTTCCCCGTTGCTCTTTTCCCCGTAAAATCTGCTATCTGTGGGCAGATCTAGCTTTACTGGTGGTCGGTCTGAGCTTAATCTGGCAGATCTGCCGCTGGCCGCACGCTGCCTATGTTTTGCTTTATGATGCATTCTGTGGAAGCTCTGTTGGTCTATCGGTAGAGGTCAACGCGGAGAAGAAAGATGTATATGAAGATTGATAAGCTCTGTTGGTTGTCCAAGAGCTTGTGGATGGACTCTCAAATTTTCTTTTATTCATTTGACAGTTATTGCTACTTAACTTGGAAGATGTATATGAAGGGCTCAACTTGGATGCAGTACAATCAAGCAAACTACTTTTTAATCAGTCCTGTTACATCCCAACTAGTGTATATATCTGTTTGAGTCTCCCTATCTGCTTACTTAAGAACTAACCATGGTTTTGCATGTTCATGCCACTTTGATCATCACACATGTTGGTGTTTATATCAGCTTTAATTTGCAGCCGTGGGGGCCTTGGTAGAGCCAGTTCAGTGATTGGACTTGCAGTGGCGGTTGAGGCCAGTTAGATCCACCATCCATGGCTGCATTTCCGCAATCTCACCACGATCCTCTAAATATCCTGATGGCGCCTTCTCCCCTCCCTGGCCTTCGTGAACATGAAGCCGCTCCTTCTCTTTTTCCAACCAGGGGAAGCTATAACTTGGTCCATGCAAGCAAGGTGTTTCCAAAACGTATGCCACTCTATTTATTGAAGAAGATAACAAATGATTTCTCTGAGGACCGTGAGCTTGGTACTGGTGCATATGGAAAAGTTTACAAGGTACGATTTAAGAGGCAGACATGTTTTCATAGTCATTTTCTGTTTTCGCATGTTATATGCTTGCATTAAACCATGCTTATATGCAATGTTAAGCAGGGAGTGCATAAAAATGGTGAAACTATCGCTGTGAAGTTGCTTCATTCCATGCCAGGACTTGATGACAAATGTTTTGAGGAGGAGTTTCAGAACCTTTCAAGACTCCAACACAAGAATATTGTGCGTCTTATTGGCTTTTGCCATGAAACTCAACGCGAATTCGTACCGCATGAAGGAAACATGATTTTTGCTGATAGCAAACGTATGGCACTCTGCTTCGAATATATGCATAATGGAAGCCTTGACAAGTACATTTTTGGTATTATTGTGCTCTTCTTTTCTTGTATGATCAGTTTAATTCACTTGAAGTAACCATTCTTCAAATTTGCATTTTGAGAGACTGTTTGTTCCGACAGATGAATATAGTGGCGATGACTGGCCCACGCGCTATGCGATAATTAAGGGGATCTGCGAGGGTTTGAAATACCTTCACGAGGAATTGGACCCTCCTATCTATCATTTGGATTTAAAACCGGCTAATATATTGTTGGATGACAATATGATGCCAAAGATCGCAGATTTTGGCTTGTCAAAGATTTTCGAACAAGAACGAACGCGAATCACAAAAAGTTGTATAGGGACACAGTAAGATTAATTCTTTATATGAGTTTTACACATGCAATGATTTTTTTTTGTGTGTTTCATCATATCAGTAACATGTATATATGATGTCTTATGCAGTGGATATCTACCACCAGAATATATAGAGAAGGGTGTAGTCTCAATTAAGCTTGACATATTCAGTTTGGGTGTCATCATCATAAAGATTATAAGTGGACCTACAGGTTACACCCAGTGTGCTGAAATGCCTTCCAAGCAATTTGTTGAGCTTGTAAGAAAATTCGCTACAAATGATGATCAATTGTGATTTTTCTAGAAATAGCACTTGCTTTTTTTAATATATACTCATATACTTCAATTTTCTATGTTCCAAATCCAAACTATCAGGTACATGAAAAATGGAGGAATAGGTTACAAACAACATTAATGGGTGCATTTGAGCTGGAGACATATTCTAAACAAGTAGTGAGATGCATTGAAATGGCTTTAAGTTGTGTGGAGACTAATCGGCACCAAAGGCCGAGTATAGGGGCTATTATTAATAAGCTAAATAAGATGGAGACAAATACCGACCAGGTATAGACACTGATGACACTTTCATTTCTGCTTACTTAATGTTCATCGTACTGCTAAATAATATGAAGGAAATTATATCAGCCAATAAATCTTCACAATACATCATCAACAGCCTAGATGTTTGGTCCAGAGCTAGAGCTACTAATGCATGAGATGGACGGTTCAAACCACAACGGCTCTTTTTTTGGGTGGAACTCCACGTTTTGGACAAAAAATGATTAATGTTTTCTATTGAAGTAGTAATTAGAGATATGAAGGCACGCCGTCTAGGCAGCCTCCCAGGGTGTCCACGTATGTTCTATTTAGTTGATGCGTTAGATAGAAATTCCACGACTCAGATGAAGCGCGTCACAACCAGCCTTCCTCCGTGCATTCGGCAGTGGATAGATGAAGCAACTGGACGTATTTAATGAAGTAGATGAAAAATTGAATGACCATGCATGCAAGGACAATATAAACTGTAGGTGTACTTTGCATGCAAAAAGTTACTACGGTAGGGGGATTTACATCACTGTGCTTTCACGTGTCCTTTACATAAAAAAAGTTACTATGACAGGAGAAATTTACATCACATGTGCCTTGTCCCTTTACATTAATGAATTTACTATCAATAGATACTAGGCAGTAAATTTTCATGCATGCACGAGTGCCTCCCTAAGCTATCCAGAAATTCACTCAGTAAATTTGAAAGCACGGGACATCTTCACCTGCGCAGGGTGGGTCGAAAGCAAGTGGACACATTTAATGCCTCCCCTCCATGCTACCATCAGATAAAAACAAGTCGGCAGGTGGACACATTTAATGCCTCTCATCCTTACCATCAGATAAAAGCAATTCACCGACCATGCAGGAACATTTGTACTTACACATGCATCCATGCATCTAAGAGACGGCTAAGGTTGTGTGCACGTTGCTCCCGAGGTGGTCGGTGGTTGGGGTTGGTCGCCATTAATACGGCTACCATACTTGCATCTGCACCCATGCATGCAGAGGCGCCCATTCCTCCTCCAACTCTTGCCTATATAAGCATGTGCCATCCATTGCTTCATCGCACCCCTCCCAGCCCTCCCAGTGTCTCCATGTGTCCTCTTTGTAGTTCATATACGAGGAATCAATAGCTATGGCCTCAGGGGCACCCGCAGTGGTGAATCGACCCATCTCAGATAAATATGATTTATTTCTAGCGGTCCAGATGACAGCTCCTCTAGCTTAGCGCCACGTATGTCGTCCACTTCAAGAGTCTGGCAAGCATGCTCTATCGCTTCAAGGGGCCCACCATTTATTCTACCCAAGGCATTTATTCTACCAACCAAGAAAGCATTGACAAGATATCTCTATTGGACGCATGCAAACTTGAAACAGCACACACACGCATGCATGCATTACAAAGACATTAGCACATACATTTAATTCCCACACGCTCATGTCTTTGTCTTAGAGTAATATCTCATGTGTGGCTGTGTCATTTGAGTAGTAATTTTGATGGTTGCATCGACATACATGATAATAAGTAATACTACCGTATCGTTAAACCATGTGTGCCCAATTAATGCCTGTTCGCTTGCTATCGATAAGCCATGGTGAAAATCTTGTTGGCTGATTTGTTGTGAGAGAAAAATATTGTTTGTTGGCTGAAAAGTACGGCGGCTTATAAGCCACCTTGAATAGGGCGTAAGTTAACTCTAGCTCTCACTATTTGTTGGGATAGTTACGGTAATGTGTATGGGTGGTGGTCCATTAGTCTAGATACTCTACCTTTTTTTAGTGTATGGTGTAGTTACTCTACCGCTTTTTTAGCGTAGTCACTCTACCTTTTTGAAAGGTAATTACTGTACCTTAGTCTAACCAATTGCATTAGGAATTTGGATTAGTTGATTCAATGCCAACGAAGTCTCTTTAGCAGATTAATCTTACTTGCTCCTCGTATAAGGCATGTTATTGATTTCGTTCTTTGGGTTAATAAATGATGTTTTGGGCTGTTGCACTGGTTAACTTAATTAACCAAACCTCATTTGTATGGTCGTTTGATGATTAAAGGCATGCATGCATACTTGAGTGAGAGTGTGCATATGCATGTAGTCGCATGTGTATGTGCATGCATGCATGCCCGCTGGAAACAGATGCTCATTATTGCAGCGAAGTGAGTACTCCGTATTTAAAAATAAAGTCGTTTTGGAAAAGGCTTGGATCTGGGAATATAAATCATGAATAACTTTTAAGTTGTTGAGTTTAGAAATGTGAAAGCCATATAAATAGATTTGTCTTGAAAAATACTTTCATAAAAATATACATATATTACTTTTTGATAAATATTTTTATGAAAACAAGGAGTCAAAGTAATATTTTGGAGACCGTGTCGCTGTCCAAAACGACTTTATTTTTTAGTATGGAGGGAGTAGTTGAGACTGCTGGCATTAATGAGCTTCTTGCACCCAGAATTGCAATAGATCAAGTGTCATTGCACCTAGATATAGATAATTTTTTACCCATACAATGATGGTAAGAGGGACAAATTTGTTCGTAGCAAAAAAAGCGGACAAATTTGTTCGTAGCAAAAAAAACTAATTGAATAAAAGCGAAGCGCGGATAGGACACATTTGTTCGTATAAATAAAAAAGAAATTCGAACAAAATATGTCGTAAGTATGTCACCCGCAGCGAAGCGCGGGAACTTTTCTTGCTGACTTAATAGCGCATAGCTCTTTGATCATATGGGATGAAGCGCCTATGACCCACCGACATTGCTTCGAATCTTTAGATCGTAGCATGCGTGACATTCTTGGGGAGACAGACTATTCGTGTTTTAATAGGTTGTTTGGTGGTAAGACCGTGGTGCTCGGCGGAGATTTCCGCCAAGTGCTACCTGTGGTCGAGGGCGACAGCAGGTTAGACACCATTGATGCATCCATAACTAACTCTTATCTGTGGAATCATGTTAAGATTCTAAAGCTAACAATCAATATGCGCTTACTTGAGATGTCTCGCAGTGGTTTGCCAACTGATCAGGTGAGAGCATTTAATGATTGGGTGTTGAGTATTGGGGATGGCACTGCTACGGGTAATAATCATACTGATGATGGAGACTCTGAGCTGGTTGAGATACCTCATGACATCTTGGTTCCGAAACTTGGCTCCCCTATTGATAATATCATAAGATCTACCTATCCCAACTTAGACACATTCTATTCAGACCCAAACTACCTAAGGGAACGGGCTATCATTGCTCCAAAAAATGATACCATCAATGAGATTAATAACCGCGTCCTTTCTTTAATCCCAGGACATGAAAAGGTATACCTTAGTTCTGATTCTTTGGTTGAAACCTCCAAGGACCATGGTAACGCAGACCTACTTTATCCTGTTGAATTCCTAAACCCCCTACAGTTCAAGGGCATCCCTTCTCATAAACTTATGCTTAAGGTTGGCTCGTCCGTAATGTTGCTGCGCAATTTAAACCAGAGTGCTGGCCTTTGCAATGGTACACGTCTTATAATAACCCAGTTAGGTGACCACGTATTGGAGGCTCAGATAATAACTGGCTCTCACATTGGCGACAAAGTTCTCCTTCCTAGAGTTTCGTTGCACGTGTCAAGCACTAAATGGCCATTTGTTCTTAGCAGACGCCAATTTCCAGTAAGATTGTGCTATGCAATGACTATAAATAAGAGCCAAGGACAAACTTTGCATAGCGTTGGCCTATACCTACCGTGCCCAGTTTTTTCTCATGGCCAGTTGTATGTTGCTATATCACGTGTTACATCTAGAGATGGACTACGTGTTTTGATTAACGACGGCACAGACCTGGCCTCTAACTTTACTGAAAACATTGTTTACAAAGAAGTCCTTCGGGCACTCTGGTAATTTTTTTCCCTATATATGTTGGGCCCACACATTTGCAGGCTATGGTCTCCTAGCTTACCTGCATTATAGTGCTCTATTTGATACACTTCTTTTTCTTTTGTTGATTGGCCGCCACCAGATGGAGTACACCTTGGTATCACAGATTAATCCAACAAGGCACAATTGGACCATCAAGGTTAGAGTTGCTAGGATGTGGAAACTATCTTCGACTCCTAAGTGGAAGGGTGTAACTGCCATGGAACTTGTTCTGGTTGATGAAGAGGTATGTCCCTTCCTACATGTGGATATATGCTATTTCCCCTTAACTGTGGCCGTGCAATCTGAGACTCTCTACATCAGGGCGTGGGTATTACGGCTTGCATCGGGCATAAAGACCTTAGCAAATTTGCTGATTCTTTAGTTGAAGGCCGCTCCTATATGATTAAAAAATTCCAAGTTAGCAGGCAAGCAAGGAAGTATAGCGCTGTACCGAACCCACAAACAATCTATTTTACACCGTGGACTGTCGTAGAGGAGATACCTACAGAGCTGGCCACCCAGCTTCCCCTCTATGTTTTCAATTTTGTGGACTTTGAGGAATTAACCCATAGACGGAGGAACGGACATGGCCTAGTAGGTATGCACTGCCCTTGCCTTGCCTATTCAGGTTCCCTTTTCCTATTTTCCGGGATTTACTTCGCAGGTGACATGGTGTTTGGATTCCCAACAGATGTTATCGGACAACTTACAGTCATACATCCGGTGGTGCGATCTAGTGGGCTAAATGGTGTGTGCGTGCGGAGGGTGGTGGAGCTACGTGATCTAAGGTTGCTTCCGTGGTAGTTTATGAGTATTCTGGTTAGCATAAACTTATTGTGACTACTCTTGCAGCGATCATCTCTTACAAATTATATTGTGGGGCGAGCATGCAACCTTGTTTGAGGACCAGATCCTTATTGAAACCATTGATAAAGATGAACCCGTTGTGATGGTTTTTGCTGGGGTGCAAGTGAAGCAATACTTAGGTGCATGCTATTTATCGTATCCTTTCCATGTATCCTCTGCATTACGCCCAGTTCCTATTATAACCTGTCCAGCCCATTGCCAAAGTAGGTGCCACAACATGTGCGAGCGGTGATGGCACTAAATGGTACATGAACATTGACCTTCCAGAAATGAACACTTTTCGTGTTAGGTAATACGATTCCCCTGCTGTTCAGCCTTTACTGATTTGCAGGGTGTGTAAATGGTTGTTGGCCTTGTCCTTAGTTTACAGGGAAGAGGCTCCAAAGTTGTGTTCCTGCCCGGCGATGAAGCAGGCGCCAACAGGAAAACTGTTGCCGAGCTCCTAGCATTGGATCCCCATGACAGCAATGTATTGCCTCCTTCATAGCAATTACCTATATGCACTACTCAGGTCAGGTTGCTGAAATTTGGTCTACCCTTCCATTTAGGGTGTTCGTTTCACCCGCAACGCAATCATAAGAGAAATAGACGTTTCCAATGGTTGGTGGTATAAAGGTTGCAATACATGCAAGCGGGGGCTGAAGGCTACTTTCGAGGGCTTTGAATGCACTAACTGCGATGAGGCTAAACCAGTGGTTATTCCCAGGTAATCCTTGCTTCAAACGGTACTGTCCCTCACCAGCAGACAAAGGTAGCTAACTTGTTCCTGATGTGTCTTCTTCTTTCCCACCCAAGCTATAAGCTAAGTGTGATCATCGAGGATACCACTGGCTACGTGAAAATATTTCTCTTCGGAGGAGTAGCTGAACAGGCTGTTCGACGGACCGCCGCTGAGCTTGTTGAAGAAAGCTCATCCAATCAGATTTTGCTGCCTGCATCCCTTCGCGGCCTTGTTGGTCGAAGGTATGTCTTCCAGGTGGTTATCAGTGAGCAAACCTTTAGGACTAGGCAGCTCTGCTTCCAAGCTAGGAGGGTGTTCCCCGATCCAACGGCTGCTGAGGCTCGTGGTTCTACTGGACGTTCGCCACATGATCCTAGGGATCCCAAAGCTATGAACAAGATTGGGACATCAAGTGTTGCCTCTGGAAAAGACTACCAGGCACACGTTCTTGTCATTCCTGAGGTTCCTAACAATGCAGAAGGTGGCTCAACCCCTCCTCCTGCCCCTGCCACAGTAGCTGATACCAAAACCTCATCCAGCAAGGGGAAGGAGGTACCCTCTGATGTCCATGAGGAGCATGGGTATGTACCTTTGTGGACTAAGTAATCTAAATCATTTGCCATACCCACGTAGTGCACTCTTCGCACCCCTCGAAATTAGTTTAAAAGGTATTACATTAGGTTCCTCCAACATTGAACCTTAAGTGTGGCTATGGTCACCTTCCCGGGTGAAGTACAGACCATGTATGGGTGATTTGCTTATATAGTTTTTTTTGCAGAACTATTCTAGGCAAGAGACCGAGGTCTGCTCGCAGGGATCTACTCCCTGCAAAGAAAGCCGGAGCAAGGTAGCTTATTCATTCTTATACTATTTTATTGTTTGGTTCCATCAGTTGGGTGACAAAGTATTTCTAATTTGCAGCGATGAGTAGGCCTACATCCTTGGGCTCCACCATCAACCACCTATCGCTACACAGCTTCATCCAATAAATCTGATGCTGTTCTATGCGCTTCGTGTTGGTGCCATAATCGGTGTTCCAGTTTTAAGTGTGTCATGTAGTGGGTAGTGTCCCGTTGTGGTATGAACTTGGCCTATGAGTCCTTACTTGTGTTGGACTTTGGAGATCCCTGGGCTCATGTATCCATTAGTTCACTATGCCAGTTTAGTAGATAAGGATCTTTATGTCTTCGTCTTAGGTGCAGTGCCTAAACTAGGGCCTTTACCTGTCGGCCAGAGTAGCTTGGTACTGTGTTGCCACCAGCCATTTTCGGTTATTGAGCTCGAAGAAATAATTTGTATGCCCCCCTGTTTGTTTTAGCTCCGTGTGTACTAGCTTCAAGTCGATTAAAGTGTTCCGTCTAATTGTCTCCCTTGTGGACGTATCCAGTGCCTTGTACATTACACTACTATCTATGCAATGCGTGCACTCGCACCTTGAGTCCTATGTGGTAATAAGTTTGTGTGGTTTGGTCCACATGAGGATTGTACCTCTTGGCTGTGCTCTGGTTGGTGAATGGGAAAAAAATATAAAACAGGAAAGTTTCACCATGGAGATTGTGGAAATCAGGATGATGGAGTAGGGGCAATGAACGCTGACCTGATTGTTAATTTTTTCTTTGTGCAGGGTTACCTAGACTAGGCTTATTACCACAAAGCCTGTAGTACACTTGAGAGCGATCAACAATTTGTCCACTTGTGGGAAAAGCTATTAGATAAAACCAAGGTATGCATGATGTTATTGATTATGCACTTCTGGTCATATGTCAACAACTTTGGTTTGATAACCTTTTTGTCACATGCAGTGGCTTCAACATTACCACAAACTCACAATGCAAGAGGTACACAGCCCCTACAGTCCTCTCTTGTGGTTAATAAACAGGCTTGTTGAATGTGTTCGGTGCTATTTTCTCAGTCTTCGCACCCTAAAGTGGTTTCATTTCTTTTTTGTTTAGCGGAAGATAATGGACCGTGTGACCTACTATCACGCAGCGAAGATTAGAGCAGATTGCCGCCAGATTTATTCGAAGTTACTTGGTCGTTTCTTAATGGTAATGATCCTAGCTCCTCAACATATTAATGTGTTGTATATTGCAAGTGATAGTATTCGACAATGACATATCACTTTTTTTCAGGAATTTTTTTATAGCGTTACGACTGATCATTTTTATGCACGTCTCTATTTTGAGATCTGGAAACGGGTTGCTAAGCAGAAGGTTTGGATTTTTGTCTGAATACGCAGAACTAAGAAATTTACAGTGCTCTTTTTTCAATTTGTTCTGGCTTTATATGTTTATTAATCACAGGGACATTTTTTCCCCTTGAACATTGGTTAGATGAATTTCAAAGATGCTTTGGATGAAGTGAAGGACAAAGCCATGTGGCCCTTCAACTGGGCTGAAGTGAAAACTGAGATAGAAACTGATAATGTAAGTCTAAGTCGCCCTTGTTCACAGGCGTCATTCGCTTATATATCAAAATTTATTCTCTATCCTATTCCCAGTGCCTAATTCTTTCATATTTTCTCTCCAGTATAAAACATATGTGGCTGGCATAGATAAAAATGTAAGCTACTTTTGTCTTGGAGATCAGTGTCCTACTGGAAATTTTCTTTGCACTAAAGCTATTTTTGTCTGTATGTAGCTTGAAGAAGGTGATGAAGCTTATTGGTTGATCGTGGAGGCTGTCAAAAAAAATGTTAGTTGATTCTCTTTTTTTTACTTTTGAGATTTTAGATGTACCTTTATTCTGGTTTTTAATGTGCTCCAAGTATTCGCTTGATTTTCGCTTATCTGGAAACTAAATTCATTTGCAGGTTCCAAGGCTCAAGACCTATTATGACTATGCCAAAAAGAAGTTGGGTATTGCAGAGAAATTGGGTTTGATCCCCTCCATGCCCCACACAGGTATGCGAATTTTGTCAGCAATCATGTCAGATTGCATGCTTATTGTTCAAGAAGATTAGACGCCCCCATGGGTTGTAACATAATCTGTACAACTCTACATTTAGGCTCCACGTGACAGAACATTTTAGAGGTCAGGTCACTACAAAATCAGGGAGTTCAGGAGATGATGACAGCAAGGGAGGGCGCGCCATTGATGGTGATAAACCTAAAACGGAGCAAGTGTTTACTTGGTAGACAGTGTTAAGTTAGGTAGCATCATCCTCTTTTGCTGGAATGGCTGACTTCAGATAAAGCAAAAGTTCTTTATGGAGATCATCATCCTCTTTTGCTGGGCTATCTGGATGAGCAGGAACAACTTCATTTTCAGGCAGATCCCTCCTTCTACCCAAAGGGTGCAAAAACATCTTCAGGATTGAGCTAGAGCTGATGCTATGCAGAGCAAAGAAGTACTTTCCTAAAATTCAAGAATGGATAAGCCGCTTAAATTAGGATGGAGACCTCTTGTGTACTCTTGGATCTTCTTCACCTTCCCTTTCTTAATTCCTTAGAATGTTTTTTTTCAGCTACCTCACCATGTTTTGTACTCTTGGACTGTTGTTTTTTTTACCTTGTTTTAATATATGCCAGTAGGGCCTGCCGGCCCTCCTGTTCTTTCAAAAAAAAAAAAAGTTAGGTAGCATCCTTGGATATACTGCAAAATGAAAGTTGTATCAAACTGGTGATAGTAAAAGCACCTAATAATTTGTCAGCTCACTGAATCATGGATCATCACAGATGCAGCCAACCTTTTTAGTTTGAGTCTTTGTCAAATGCAGCAGGCCTGTGCCTCAATTTTCACCTATTACAACTATTTTGACATTGACCGTCAAACTGAATTATCTCATTAGGGGAGAAGATCCGGTTACCCGGCTTTCATTGATAAGTAGATTAGAGATTGATTACAGTTTGCAGGTTGTTCATCCGCCAGCCCTGGTTTTCTTAGGCACTAGCTATGAGGATAAGACTAAGAAACCGACTGACTGCTTCCTGCAGCTCCTCCTAGCCTAGAGATGGAGCGGCCCGCAAGATGAGCTTCATGCCTTGTTCGGTTGGTATTAAATCGGCTTCTGCTGATTTGTACGGCTGGTTTGTTATAAGAGAAAAATATTGTTCCACGGTTGATTGGTACGAATTAAAGTCGGCACAGTGCGTGTGGATCACAGATGCCAGCCATTGAAGGTCTCCTTGATAGAAGGTTAAGCCAACAGGCTTAGCATACTTGATTGAGGTTCCAAAGGGATTACAAGGGCCCCAAAGGGCCTGACCAGTGCCGCATTCACACAGGAAAGGGCCTAACTGGTAGAGTGTTCACATGAGTAACCAGATATTCTAAACCCCCCCGCAGTTGGAACGTTGCTGGGACGAACGTTTAGACTGGAGCGAAATTCCATGAAGACAGAAGAAGGAAGCCCCTTGGTGAAGACATCCGCGTACTGCGACGTTGTGGGAACATGTAGGACGCGAACAGTGCCAATGGCGACCCGTTCATGGACGAAGTGAAGGTCGATTTCCACGTGCTTGGTGCGTTGATGTTGAACGGGGTTGGTGGAGAGGTAGACGGCACTGACATTGTCGCGAGAGATGAGGGGAGGGTCTTGAGGGGTGGTGCAATTCTGAGAAGTTCTTTGCTGACCATGAAGCTTCAACAACGCCGTTAAGCAAAGACGCAGTACTCGGCTTCGGCACTCGACCGAGAGACAGTGGGTTGCCTTTTGGATGACAAGGAGACGAGGCTGCCACCGAGGAAGACAGCGAATCCAGAGGTGGAGCGGCGAGTGTCCGGGCAGCCTGCCCAGTCAGCATCAGTGTAAACGACGAGCTGAGTCGGGGTAGACCGGGGAATGACCAGGCCATAGCTGATGGTGCCCTGAAGGTAGCGAAGGATCCGCTTGGCAGCGATCAGGTGAGTCTCTCGGGGATCATGCATGTAAAGGCAAATTTGTTGGACGGCATATGCAATGTCGGGGCGGGTGAACGTCAGGTACTGGAGAGCGCCTGCAAGACTGCGGTAGGCTGTGGGATCATCCACAGGAGGGCCAGCATCTGCAGATACCTTGGCACAAGTGTCGACGGGGGTAGAGCAGGGATTGCAGCCGCTCATGCCATGTCGATCAAGGATGTCCAGGGTGTATTGGCGCTGTGAGAGGATGAGAGTGTCCCTGTGTCGCTGAACCGCCACGCCTAGGAAGTGATGCAAGGGACCAAGGTCTTTCATAGCAAATTCCTTCTTCAGGGCAGCAATCATACGGAGGAGGAGCTGCTGAGAGGAGGCAGTGAGGACGATGTCATCCACATAGAGGAGCAAATATACTGTCTCGGTGCCGCGTCGGTATATGAACAAGGAGGTGTCTGACTTGGCTTCAGTGAAGCCCAAGGTGAGCAGGTAAGCGGCAAACCGGCTGTACCACGCACGGGGTGCCTGCTTCAGCCCGTAGAGAGACTTGTTGAGCTTGCAAACATGGTTTGGGAGAGCAGGATCAGCAAACCCGGTGGGCTGAGAGCAGTACACAGTTTCTGACAAAGTCCCGTGGAGGAAAGCATTCTTCACGTCGAGTTGATGGATCGGCCCGATCCCGAGAGTGTGCCAAGGTGAGGACGGTCTGAACGGTGGTGGTTTGACGATGGTGAAAGGTCTCGTCGTAATCAACAACGGTATTTGTGTAAATCCGCTGAAGGACCCAACGAGCCTTGTATCTTTCAAGGAACCATCAGCATGAAATTTGTGTTTGAAAATCCATTTTCCAGTGACCACATTGGCCTTGGCCGGGCGAGGGACAAGATCCCAAGTGTGGTTGTCCAGAAGAGCAACATGTTCTTCTTCCATGGCCCGACGCCAGTGCGGATTGGCAAGAGCATCGCGACACGACCGCGGTACCCATGACAAGGCCTCAGTATGCAAGGCAAGACGAGGCTGCCGGTACCCGGACTTCCCGTGGGTCGCCATGCCATGGGAGTTGGCGACCGGAGGGATGGAGACGGCCGTTGTTTCGGAACCGGAGGGGCCGACTTGACATAGCGTGGCGGAGAGGAACAATCTTTGGAGGCGTTCGAGGGGGCCCCCGCAGCGGGCTCAGAAGGTGAGCCGGGTGCAGGAGGGCGCCTGGAGTAGATGTGGATGATAGGAGGCTTGTTGAAGGAGGGAGCCGAAGGCGCCTGAGGTAAGGCGGGTGCACTGGGCACCATGGGGCCGGAGGCTCTGAGCAGGGGCGCCAGGGGTACTGGCATGGTGCCGGGGCTCAGACGAGAGGCTGGGGCACTGTCGTGCCGGAGGTGCCGCGGGCGTGCCCGGGAGTACCAGAGACTTCTGGGAGGCTGGCGTGCGCGAGCCAGTCGCCGAGGCGATCAACGGCCGCAGGACAGGGAAACCTGGTGGAGGCGATCTGGGCGTCGGGGTGCCCAGACCAGCCATCGGGGTGACCGGTGGCGATGGCTGGGAGCGGGCATGTGGAGGCGTGGGTGCTGGCAAGGAGCCAGCAAGCCCGGGTGTACCTGCAGGTAAAGGGAAGACTGGCAGGGGGTCATCGTTAGTTAGAAATCAAGCTCTTGTGGAGGAGGTGAGGGTCGGCGAAGGGAGAAAGGAAATGTTGTTTCATCAAAAACAACATGCCGAGAGATGATGACACGGTTGGTGGCGAGGTTGAGGCACCTATAGCCTTTGTGATCAGGCGAGTAGCCGATGAACACACATAGAGCGGAGCGTGGAGCAAGTTTGTGAGGAGTGGTAGCGGTGAGGTTGGGGTAACAGGTGCATCCAAAAGCTCGTAGGTCATGATAAGAGGGGGGGCGCAGAGAGAGCGAAGAAAGGAGTGCTCATGTGCTGCGCCTTGGTAGGGAGCCGGTGAGGAGGAGGGTGCTTGATAGCAAGGGCGTCGGCCAGAAGAGGGAGGGTGGCATGGAAACCTGAAAAAGGAGGGTTCGGGTGACATTGTTAGTGGTGCGAATCATGCGCTCGGCTTTCCCATTTTGTTGTGAAGTATAAGGACAGGACATGCGGAGGGAAACGTCGTTGGCAAGGAAGAACGCACGAGAGGCGGAGTTGTCAAACTCACGGCCGTTGTCACACTGTACCGTTTTGATGGTGCAGCTGAACTGAGTGTTCACATGAGCGAAAAAATTGGAAATAGTAGGGAAAGTATCAGACTTTAGACGAAGGGGAAAAGTCCAAAGAAAATGAGAGCAGTCATCGAGGATAAGTAAGTAATATTTGAACCCGGATATACTGGTAACAGGTGATGTCCATAGATCACAATGTACCAAATCAAAAATCTTAGCTGCTCTAGACAAGGAACTAGTAAAAGGTAAGCGAACATGGCGTCCAAGTTGACACGCATGGCAGAGGGAGTCATCGTCAGGCTTGCTGCAGATGATCGAAGAGGATTGGGCAAGACTCTGAAGGGCAGCCTTGCCAGGGTGACCGAGGCGACGATGCCAGGTAGTCAGGGAGGGAGTAGCCACAAGAGCGCAGGAATTGGAGGAAGACGTAGGCAGCTGCAAGGTGTAGAGAGGTCCCGAGCTGTTACATCGAAGGAGGGTGTCCTTGGAGTGGAGATCCTTCACAGAAACGCCAAGAGGGTCAAATTCAACTGAAGCAGAATTGTCAGTGGTGAACTTGCGTACAGAAAGAAGATTTTTAATAATGTCAGGAGCTATAAGGACATTGTTGAGGCGAAAAGGGCCGGGAAGGATGGAGAAGCCAGTGCCAACCACCGGAAGGGTGGCACCATTGCCAACAACAATGGAGGAAGGAAAAGAGGATGATGGCGAGGTTGTGACCATACCAGGGTTGGAGGCAATGTGAGAGGAAGCACCAGAGTCGATGACCCAGTCTAAGGAGCTCGGTGACGGAGTGAGGGCGACGGTGCTAAAAGCGTTGGCGAGGGACTCGGTAGTCCATGGTGACCAAGTAGGAGAGGGCGCCTGCTGGGGCGCCTAGTAGTATGCCCCGGGGACCAGCGATGGAGTGAAGTACCCCGGGGGCACACCAGCCACTAGGGCTTGCTGCGGTGATGGAGGCGGGACGACGCGAGGCGGTGGACCACGAGGACCTCCAGGGGTGGACCCGGGCCACATATGGATGGACCCGGTCCATGGGTTGAGGATGGAGGGTCACTGCTGGCCGCCAGGGGGCTGCTGGCCACTTGGTGAGCCGCCTTGTGTGCCGCCTTGGCCGCGTCCGCCGCGGCGACGCCGACCGCGACCGTTGCTGTTGCCAGACGGCTGCCCCCGGCAGCCTGATGGGGGCACGGGGGTGCAGAGGGCGGTGGAGGAGCGGGCGGCCTGCTAGACGACGAGGCGACGAGGGCTGAGGGCGGTGCTGAGGGTGGCGCCATGTTGAGCTTGGCCAGGCGGAGGTCAGCGCGGACGCCAGTGAAGGAGGGGAAG